GGGGAAGGGAGCTCTGAAATAAATAAAGAGGAGGGGTGGGGCTGGGGCAGGTGGGATGGCGATAGGATTAAATTTGTTAAATTTGTTTATTTAACAAATTTAAATTTGTTTTACCTGGGGTCATCTTTCTCCCACTTCCCAATCGCTTGTTCTGAAAATAAACGAGAAAAACAAATAATTTTAAATAACACAGGTCTAAGTATTAAATTTTAAAATTCCAATCCCTAGACACAGCAAACTAATGGCATAAACAAGTAGCTTTACTTATTCCTTAATATTCAACTTTAGATCCAGCGATAGTGCTCCTATATCTGAGCCAAGATGCCTGGGTTCAAGTCCTAACTGCTCTGATGTGTTCAACAACATCTCTAAACAGGCTGATTAGACAATATCTATAAACTGCAGTTTAAATAACAGTCCCTCTATCAGGGTCAGAATTTCTACTGGAGAGACAGACCTTCTGCTGTCTATTCATTTCTTCTTAAAATAACTATACATTTCAGGACCATAGCATCTGGAGCCAAGCATTTCTGGAAGAATTGAAATAGGACACCTGCGAGTTACATATTGTTGAGTTAATTTGATAGTAACAATGATGAATTTGTCCAGCTTCCTGATGATGCATGAAGGTGAATACAAGCAGTAATTGGTTACATTAGTTTTGTCCTGTTGATTGTATGTCATAACCTTTTATACCAGTGCAAAACATGAGAACTTTGATTTTTTTTTATTGCTATTGCTCTCTATAGCACTTACAGCAGTATTAAAATCAGCTTCAAGGCTCACACTACTGGGTGAAAAATTTGAGACAATTTCATGCATTAAATTTTTCCAAATTGCACCACTGCTATTTGATCTTATCAAAGAAACAATGAATGTGGAGTATTAAATGAGTTTTCATTAATTCTATGTAATAGTACAAGTAATAAATGTTTTCAAACAAAGAAAATTGTAAATCCCTAAGATTTTTCACCCATTAAAAATATTTAATTAACAAAATTACATGTCAGCTAAATGTCAAAATACTGACACTTGGATTTTTTAACTGCTCCAACAAGATTTTGGCACTGGATGAACTACTACCAATTCAATGAACTTGTCTAAACAAAATAGATTCATCAAGAAAAAGAGGTCTGCACCAACCTTCTGATGAAAGTAATTGTTCAAATTGGATCAATTCTCGTTGTTCCATCAAGCCCTTCACATTCAACCCTTTCCACTGACATACTTGAATTGCCAAAGAATTAGCTTTCAATGCACGAGTATACCAGCCTTTTCCACATAGTGCTCCTGCAAATAGATAATGACCCTATGGTAGAGACAAAATATTAAAAAGTGGAATTTAAATATGCAAGAGTACTTTTAAAATCTATTACTAAACAAAAGCATGAAAACCGGCTCTAAACAAACTACTAATATGCTCTGAGAGATGATTCCAGTCATATGTAGTTAACAAAGGCACAAAACTTTATCCCAAACTATTATACAGACCTAGGAACAAAAGTAGACCACTCAGCCCTTTGAGCCTGCTCTGCCATTCAATAAGATCATGGCTGATGGCCCACTGTGCACATATTTCAAAACCAGGCAGTTTACAATGAGACAACAGTGCCAAATGAGAGGAAAGAAAACGCTTATGAATGATGGTAGGCCAATAAATAGTGGCCCTCCCAACAAAGGTACAAGCAATTGTTTTACAATTTACAAATAATGATGATATTGAATAAAATACTGCTCCAAAGCTCTCAAGTGTGTTCCTGATACTTTGGAAAGTTTGAAAAGGATTTTGAAGGGAGAGTGGAGATTGCAAACACACTGGCCATAATCTCTCAGTCTTCTCTAGACTTGGGGGCAGTAACAGAAGACTGGAAAATTATAAATAACTACAGCCTTGTTAAAGAAACATCATAAAAATAAGCCTAGCAATTGAAGATCAGTTTAACTTCAGTGGTGGGGAAGCTTTTAGAAACGATTGTGTTGGGTAGAATTAATAATCACAGAAAAAAAGGTGGATTGATTAGCAAGAGTTAGCATGGATTTGCAACAGCTTTGCAAGGGTTTTGGAAGAGATAACAGACAGGCTCAATTAAAGCAACATTGATTTCCAGAAGACATTCAATACAGTGCCACACAAAAGATTTGAGTACTGTTTATATCATGGTATAAGTGTGATTGTTGCAACAAACACACAAAATTGGCTGAGTGATAGGAAACAGAGAGAAGTGGTCAGTGGAGTTCAGCAGGGTTTGGTATTGGGATCCATGCTTTCCTGATATACATTAATGACCTAGATCTTGGTACGGAGGGAACAATTTCAGTTTTCAGATGACAAAATCTGGAAGAACTGTAAATTCACAGGGGACACTAACACTCCAAAAGGGCACCGGCAAGTTGGAGGCGTGGACAGATAGGTGGCAGATGAGTTTAATGCAGAGAAGTGTGGTGATGTAATTTGGTGGGAGAAACATTAAAAGCAATATATAAAAGTAGGGGTTACAATTCTAATGGGGGTGCAGGAACAATGAATATAGCAGGACAGGTTGATACAGCAGTACAGTATTCTCTGTTTGAGATCTGGTGGTGCAGGGATAGTGTCCCTTTTTTTGGGCTAGAAGGTCTGGGTTTGCGTTCCACCTGGTCCAGGTGTACATAACATGTCTGAATAGCCTGATTAAAAATATCTACAATATCTTTGGTTTTATTAATAATGACATAGCGGGCAAGAACAAAGTGGTGATGCTGAACTTATTTCAGACACTTGTTAGACCTCATCTGGAGTACTGTGTACAGTTCTGGGCACCACATTACAGGAAGAATGTGAACGCATTACAGAGAGATCAAAAGCAATTCACAAGAATGTTCCAAGAATAAGACATTTCAGTTCATGTCGATAGAACGCAGAAATTAAGACTGCACTCCTCGAAGAGACTCACAGGAGATCTGACAGTTTTTGAATTGTCACGGGTGGGCTTGATAAAGTAAATAGGGAGAAACAGTTCCTGCTTGCAGAAGAATCAAGAACTAGATTTAAAGTGATCTGCAGAAGGAACAAATGTGAATGTAAGAAAAAATGTTTTCACACAACGAGTAGATCATAGAATTCCCAAAGTGCAGACACAGGCCCTTCGGCCCAACAAGTCCACACTGACCCTCCAAAGAGCATCCCCCTATGCTCTCCCTGTAACCCTGCATTTTCAATAGCTAACACAGCTAATCTACACATCACTGAATACTATGGGCAATTTAGCATGCCCAATCCATCTTTCCTGCACATCTTTGGACTGTGGGAGGAAATCAAAGCACCCGGAGGAAACCCAAGCAGACACGGGGAGAATGTGCAAACTCCACACAGACAGTCACCTGAGGCTGGAATCGAACCCTGGTCCCTGGCACTGTTCGGCAGCAGTGCTAACCACTGAGCCACCATGCCGCCCTTTACACTGCTGTGGTCTGGAGACACATGCAGGCCAGGCCAGGTAAGGATGGCAGTTTCCTTCCCTAAAGGAAATTAATGAACCAGATGGTTTTTCCCAACAATTGGTAATGTATTCATTACCATTATTAGACTCTAATTCCAGATATTCATTGAATTCAAATTCCACCATCTGCCATGGCAGGACTTGAACCCAGGTCCCCAGAACATTACCTGGTCTCTGGGTTAACAGTCCAGTGATAATACCACTAAACCATTACCTTTCCATTAATTAGGTTATGGAGTAATTAGGTTATGGGATGCACTGTCTGGAAGTATGGTGAAGACAGGTTCAATTAGCATTCCAGAGGTTTTTGGATGATTAGCTCGATAGAAATAAAGCAAAATGGGTACGGGGAAAATGGAGAAAATTAGCAGGAGATAATGATACTCAGCTGACTGCGTTGATACTTATAACTGTGGACATAATGGGCTGAATGGTCTCTTTTCATTTTTCTTCTTTGCATGCTTTGGGAGTTTGTGCGCTTACACATAGTAATGAGAAGTAGGGCATCTGTACAACTTAAACAGTTTTTTAATATTTTTATATAAGTGAGTGTTAACGAACTAATTCATATTGTGCTTAACTGAAACATCACTTAAGTGCAATCATCAGGCTTCAGCGAGTACATCAGCAAGCAATAACAAAGAATCGTAACATTTTCCATTAAGTCTTACCAAAGGAGACAAAAACTGTCTTCCCAACCCAATCACCTAAAATGTAGGATGCAATTTCTCAGCAATTATCATAAAGAGTTCAGATGCTCTCAAGTTTTTTTGCTCATGTTTTATTGATTGAAACTCCCAACAATATCTAATTATCAATTGAATGCCTATGTTAAACATACCTCTATGGAATGAGGCCTCAGAACAATGCACCTTTTGGCATCACTCCATGCTTTTCTGTCAAAAATACGAAGTGACACAACATGAACAAAATGTCATGTGCAAATACAACAGTTTAATAAAGATTGAAGCTGTTATGATGCGTTCAATGATTAATGCATTCAAATAAACTGGGCTTTTGTCAGGGTCACTCATCAAAACGGACTTAAAAATTCTACTTTCAACACTGAACATTTTCATTACCTCTCCAAGGAAGAAACTGTCCAAGGAACTGGCAAAGGCCCAGTCCGGTCATTTTCCAAAATCCAGAGATAGTAATATTTTATCTTTTAAATCATGAGAAGTAAACAGGAAGAATACAAGGCCTTTCACCAATGAGTCAGTGTTTGACATAATTCTGTATTTTCAAAAGCAAAACTTGCGGTAATGGTAAATTAGGATTTAGTTGAGCAATGAGCAATAAAGTGGAACATTACACATAACAATTTATACATTAATTATACAAACATATGATCAAGGAGCAGGAGTAGATCATTCGGCTTTCAGTCTGTTCTGCCATTCAATAAGATCATGGATGACCGATTGTAACCTCGTATCCAATTTCAGCCCACCCCAACAACCTTTCACCCTTTCTTTTTATTAACTCAAGGCTTTAGGGCATCGCTGACCAGGCAGCATTTATTGCCCATCACTAATTGCCCAGAGGGTAGTTCAGAGTGAACCACAATGCTGTAGTTCTGGAGTCACATGTAGGTCAGACCAGGTAAGGATGGCAATTTCCTTCCCTAAAGGACATTAGTGAACCAGACAAGTTTTTCCCGACAATCGGCAATGGATTTATGGTCATCATTAGATTTTTAATTCCAAATATTTATTGATGTTTTAACGAAGATCTCTAACTCCGGTTGCAGTTGGAGTTGTTGGTTGGTTCGCCGAGCTGACTGGTTTTCATGCAAATGTTTCATCTCCTTCCTGGGTGACATAGTCAGAATGTAGCCTCCGTTGAAGCGCTGTTGTTCTGTCCTGCTGTGAGTTTATATGGTCCGGTCTGTCATGAATATTCACTGTTTGCAAAGACTCTAAAAACTCTGTTTTTGCGCAGCTCCGGGGTGTCACACAAAGACAAACACATCTACAGTATCTTTGCAAACAATGGTTATCCTAACAGCTTCGTCCACTGATGCCTGGCAAACAAACAACATCAAGAAGACACTGTACGCCCCAACACACTGGCCATCCTACCCTACGTCAGAAACACATCAGAACTGACAACAAAACTCCTATGACCTCTTAAAATAAGGATAGCACACAAACCAACAGCCACACTTTGCCAGTTACTCTCAATGACGAAACAGCCCATAACCACAATGAGCAGGACAAATGTGATATATAAAATACCATGCAGCAACTGCGAGAAACATTATACAGGACAGACGGGCAGGAAACCCACCACCAGGACACATGAACACCAACTCACAGCAAAAACGGCATGACCAGTTCTCCCTTGTTTCAATACACTTCGACATAGAAGGACATCAATTTGACTGGGACAAAATTACAGTACTAGGATAAGCAAGACAAAGACAAGCACAAGAATTCCTGGAGGCCTGGTTTTCAACCACTGATGCAATTAACAAACATGTTGAAATAGACCCCATCGACACACCACTACAGTACAAAACTGGAAACAAGACTGCCTACCACGACAGACCGGACCATAGAAATTCAAAGCGGGACAGAACAACAATGCTTCAACGGAGGTTATACAGCACCAACAATGTCACCTAAAAGGGAGACGAAACGTTTGCATGAAAACCAGTCAACCCAGCAAACAACTCCAGATATTTACTGAACTCAAATTCCACCATCTGCCGTGGCGGGATTCGAACACAGCTCCCCAAAACGTTATCTGGATCTCTGGATTAACAGTCCAGTGATAATACACCAGGCCATTCCTTAACAAGAATACATCTACCTCTGCCCTAAAAATATTCAAGGTCTCTGCATCTACTACTTTTTCAGGAAGAGTTCCAAATGCTCAAAACCTTCAAAACAAGATTTTGCCTCACCTCAGTTTTAAATGAGCATTGGTAATTTTTAAGCAATGACCTCTGTGTCCAAATTCACCCATAAGAGGAGGCACATTCTCCATATCTATCCTGTCAAAACCCGTCAGGGTCTTGTATGTTTCAATAAAGCCTCCTCTTATGCTTCTAGACGCCAGCAGGTGCCAGCCTAGTCTATCTAACTCTTCCTCATAAGAAATCCCACTCATTCCAGATATTAGTTGGGTAAACATTCCCAGAACTGCTTCCGACACACTTATATTCTTCTTTAAATAAAATGTCCACTACTGCATACAATTTAAAGTTTTCTAGAAGATTTGTAGCTCAGGTTGTGGATGAGCTTGTAGACCTACTCACCGAGCCTGCTGGTTTGGTTGCAACCTTACCGTATACAATTCTCCAGATGTGGTCTCACTAGTGCTGTGCAAAACTGAAATACTACTTTGCTACTTTTGCATTCAATTCCCCTCTCAATGAACGATATCATTCTAATTACTTGCTGTATCTGCACATTAACCTTTTGCAATTCATACGCTAAGATCCTTCTGCAACCTCACATTATTTAAATACTATGTCCTATTTTTATTCTTCTTGCCAAAATGGATCATTTCAGATTTTCCCACATGGCACTCCAGTTTCCAGACCTCTGCCCACTCACAATCTGTCCATATCCCACTGCAACACGCTTATGCCCTCTTCACAACTTACTTTTCTACTTGTCTCTCATCAACCTTCTTTCCCTTTTTTAACTGTAATAACTGTGGTCCTAAATCTAAGCATTTCCTTATGATATACCCATTGTAGTAAGATGCCACAGTTACGATTCAGTATTTAATTGCAGGCAGATACAAGTCTTCACGCATAGGTGCTTAGATTGAAGTGGTTAGCACAGTGGCAATGTAGTCATAACATTTTTCCACTAAACAAAATTAGGGGTTGTACTGGAGTCAATCTATCATAAAATGAATCAGAATATGTCTGCTTGCTGGAGGATGAAGATGGAGAAGAGCACTAACATTAGCAATTCCTCTGAGGGTTATGCCAAGCAGTCAAAACTGATGTTATAATATCTTTTTCTATTCATTTGTGGGATGTGGGCGTTGCTGGCTGGTCATCCCTAGTTGCTGCCCATCCCTATTGCCCTTGAGAAGGTGGTGGTGAGCTGCCTTTTTAAACCGCTGCAGTTCTCCTGCTGTGGGTTGACCCACAATGCTGTTAGGGAGGGAATTCCAGGATTTTGATCCACCGACAGTGAAGGAACAGCGATATGTTTCCAAGTCAGGATGGTAAGTGTCTTGGAGGGGATCTTGGAGGTGGTGGTGTTCCCTTATGTCTGCTGCCCTTGTCCTTGTCCTTCCAGATGGAAGTGGTTGTGGGTGTGCAAGCTGCTGTCTGAGGATCTTTGGTGAATTTCTGCAGTGCATCTTGGAGATAGTACACACTGCTGCTATTGAGCATCAGTGGTGGAGGGAGTGAATGCTTGTGGATACAGTGCCAATCAAGCGGACTGCTTTGTCCTGAACGGTGTCAAGCTTCTAGAGTGTTGTTGGGGCTGACCTCATCCAGGCAAGTGGGGAGTATTCCATCACACTCCTGACTTGCGCCTTGTAGATGGCGGACAGGCTTTGAGCAGTCAGGAGATGAGTTATTGATTATTTATTGGCTGAATGAAAGAGGGCTTTTAATTTCCATGTTTGCAAATTCAATGAAAGTATAGTGAAAATTGTTTAAACCCAACTTCTTGTTCAAATTCATGTCTACTGGGTGACCGTCGCTGCAAACTGATTCACAGCATTTCTGTGTAACATCAATCATATACCAAAATAAGAACAATCAGAAGTTTCCGATTTTCTGGAAGACTGGTTCTAAAAACTTAATTTGGTCAGAAATCACATGATGCCAGGTTACAGTCCAACACGTTTATTTGAGAACACTAGACTGCAAGTGTGCTCCAGAGATATCTTGACTGGTGCTGCTTGATAATCAAATCTGATGGAGATCAGGGAAAAATTCCTCAAATACTTCAGACCACTACATTCTTAAACAAAAGATCGCGGTGGCTCAGTGGTTAGCACTGCTGCCTCACAGTGCCAGGGACTCGGGTTCGATTCCACCCTTGGGCAACGGTCTGTGTGGAGTTTGCGCATTCTCCTCATGTCTGCGTGGGTTTCCTCCAGGTGCTCCGGTTTCCTCCCACATTCCAAAGATGTGCAGGCTGGATGGATTGGCCATGCTAAATTGCCCGTAGTGTTCAGGGATGTGTACATTAGGGGGATGGGTTTGGGTGGGATGCTCGGTGTGTTGGTGTGGACTTGTTGGGTTGAAGGTCCTGTTTCTACACTGTAGGGATTCTATGATTTTGATTCTATGATAAAGTTATATCCAAATTTAAGCTTTTCAAGTATAATGGATTACCTTAAATTAAGTAACATTTAGTGAACAGGTGCAAACTTACTTGTATTGACACAACTGGAAATAGCAATAAGATCTCTTCTCATACAGCAAATGATTAAATGCACTACAACAAAATTGACACAAATCAGTTCTCCATACAATAACATGTTACAGAATGCAACAAAAAAAAGTCACATTGTTATCACAAATTAGGCATTCATGAACAAACAGAACATTTGACTGGACTGTAGGTTGCAGGTAAAAACCATAATTTTGAACATCTACTTAATGTTTCATTAGACGATCAAGGCATCTTGTGCAGCTACCTTTGAAAGTTGAGTCACAAGATATACAAATAAAAAAGGGAGAAAAAAGCAAATGAGAGAGAAAAAGTTCCAAGGGTATCTAGCTTTTCATCGCCTTCATTAGCCCAAGGAAAACAGATATTCAAAACTTGAAGCTCTATGAACAGACAATATATTGCTGAAAAAACAGCCTGGGGTAACCTGCCACAGCCTCAAGGCCTCTAATGAGATCACAAACTCTTTACTTGAAAAGAAAAAGCAAAAACAAAAACATCAACAGACACCTTTATGACCTTAGGCCTTCTCATCTTCAGTGTAACAATAATTGCCGTAAAGAAGGCAACAACTGTAGGATTCTCAGACAGATAACATGAAATTGATTTGTGGACTAAGCCAGGGTACTAAAAGGCCTACAATACTAGAACAACCGATCAGTCTCATTTACAAAAATGCAAAAATTCTCTTTGTATGTGAATCCTTAATATTGAAACTTACCATACTCGTATTGCCTCATTCAAAGACTTTACTGCCGCTTCATAATGTTGCTTCTTCATGTCTGATTCCCAATGCTCCTGAAATACTTTTGCTCGCTGATCATAAAGAGGGAAAAAAATTAAAAATACTAACCCTTGTTTTCTAACACATTGGAAAATAAGAGAAAATGGGTTCTAAATATCTTTCTTGTTTGGTAGCATTTTTCCACATATTACAGATGAGGATGCTGGATTCGAAAGAAAAAAAAAATCAAGGTGCAACTGATGAAACAAACAACTGAGGAAGCTTAACTATACATCAATTTTGTACCATCAAAATTGAAACAGTACAAGATATTCACAACGGATTCCAAGGCTGGATAATTATTTCATTCTCCAGCAAAACCCTTCATTTCAATGCTTCAGTAAACATTTACAAAATATATTATTTTAACTCAAGCACGAGTTGCTTTATTGACTGCGAAGAAACAGATGATGATGATACATGATTATTGGTACATGTTTCAGTGATATGTGCTACTGTATTGACTGCACAGGAGGACACTAACAAGTAGTCATTTAATTGCAATGCCCCTCTAAACTTTGTATACTGATCAATGTACTTTGTGTTTCAAGGAAATGTTTTTTAAAAAAGTATTCCTCGTCCCAAAATAACGCTGCTATATATTCCAAATCATAGCATTTAAAATAATGAACAAAAACATTTTGAAATCACTGCATTTTGCTACACTTATTTGTACAAAAATTACTAATTACTGACTTTCAAAAAAAGGAGTCAGTTGGATCTCTTACCTCCTCTTCCTCAAAGCAGTGATCTTCAAATTGCTCAAACAGATCATTATGATCAATAGAATATTGCTTTATATGACGGAAATCTACAACAAAGAAATAAACAATGGTGTTGTAGATGAACTATGGTATGGAACAAGGATGAAGTTAAATCCTGAATTGATAAACTGTAGCTCAATAGGAAGCCCCGATATCAAAAGACAGAAATATACAAGTATCGGTTTTTTTTCATTGACTCAATTCAATGTTTTGAAAAATGGAATAAAGTTTCTCATGACACACCCTTCCAGAAATAATGAGTGAAGCCTCAGAATATTCTAATTTGCAAGGTATACTGTTTAATCTTAGCCTGTTAGAGAAAAATCTTTCTGCTGCTGCTGAATGCATATTTCATTGTGATGAAAAAGAGGGTGCAAAGTATAGTGGCAAGAGCAAACCTAGCAGTCCTGCTGTCAAATCAGTTCACACCGAGTCATACAGCATAGGTTAACTTCACAATCAACACATTCAGTCCCTGCAACAAGTAGGCATTCAGTACGGATCACAACAAAGTGTGTGCACACGTTGCGGGAACTATTTTCATACCTATACAGAACCCGTTCCACCAACAGGACTGACACTGTACAGTTCAATTTTGCAGTCAAAGTTCAGTTGTTGAAGAATTGACATTCGTTAGATACACAGCAAATTTTGAAATGGTAAATCAAAATATAATGTCACAATCTGAAGCTGGTGCAATTACTGTATACAGTTATGTAAAAGCCATATCTTTAGAGTACCTTTATAATGTCATGGGACCAATTTTTACATGAATAATTTTTGAAGAGTTCATACGCATGTCTGATTTGGGTCTAAAAAGGGCCATCACGTGGCAGAAAGCAAAAATCATTTGAATTATAATTCTTAATCTGATCACAAAAATAATTTGAATAAATAAAAAATCTTAAACACTGAAAAGCTTTAAGCATTTACCCACTATCGTTCATGTTCATTACTATCTGGACCGGAGGGTTTGAGCTATACGGAGAGGCTGAATAGGCTCTCTGGAGCGTCGAAGGCTGAGGGGTGGCCTTAGGAGGTTCATAAAATAATGAAGGGTATGGATAGGATGAATAGCCAAAGTCTTTTCCCCAGGGTGAGGGAGTCCAAAACTAGAGGGCATAGGTTTAACATGAGAGGGGAAAAAATTTAAAAGGGACCTGATAGGCAACTATTTCATGCAGAGGGTAGTCCATGTATGGAACAAGCTGCCAGAGGTGGTGGGTACAATTACAACATTTAAAAGGCATCTGGATGGGCACATGAATAGGAAGTCTTTAGAGGGATATGGGACAGATGATGGCAAATGGGACTAGATCAGTTTGGGATGTATGCTCGGCACAACGAGTTGGACCAAAAAGCAGGGAACTGAACTTTTTACACAAATATACATGTTGACTTCATAATGGCATGGTTGCAAGATCACCTTCCCTTGTGTTTTATAAACTAGCCACAATGAAATCCAAGTTATAACGTCTTACACATTTTTGTAAGTTAAACAACATTTCATTTAAACATACAAACTGTAAATTATCGTATATCCCTTCAGCATTCTCCACTCTGCTGTCCTCCCTTCCTTCCTGATTTCCTATGTGCAGCTAAACCACTGGATAATTTCCAACAGGATAAATGCACTCTAAAATTGGCCCTCAACTCCCAACCTCTTTCGTACACACTAAACCAAACGCCATACATCAAATGGAAAATCATTTTAAAAAGCAGGTCATGGACAAACATGCTTGTAAACTATATGTGCCATCAAATGATGCATTCCCAAAGCACAAGTTTAGCATCAGCATACAGCCAAAAGAACTTCCTTTGCACCAATGTTTCCCTTCTTTATTTTCGCTAACACACATTTAATTACAAGTACTACTAACTTAAAATATTTATCATTTAACAAAAATTAAGTGCTGTTAAATCTTACCAGTTTGAAAAAGAGAATCTCAGATTAGGTAATGCATAAATTAGCAACAACAGATGCAGAACTTTTGACAGAGACTAACATAACAAATGACATGGTACTCACAATGAAGACCAGTAAGAGCAAGGACTGCAGCTGCTTGCATTTTATTCCCAAAGGCCAACATCTTCCAGGCATCCCGAAAAATCGTTTGCTGCTTTACCACTTGTATTGCCTCTTCCAAAGTGGAACACTGAAAATAAATTGATCTTTCATGTCTGAATTAAAATACACATTTCATCTCCAAGATATAATCGAACACAAAAGGGAAATAACTATTATTTAAACGTAATAAATCTACACAGTTTCAACATTTTGCAAGAGATAGTGTTCTGTCAGTATGCAAAAAATACTTCAGCAAGAAGGTATTTTTAGCTATGCTAATCTGCGAACTAAAGTATCTTTTGTGTACCAAGACAAACCCAAAACACCCCTTTTTCTCCGTTTCAGAGGGTGATGCATCATTTTAACTTTTATTACAAGCAGGAAATTTAAACAATAAAAGGACGGTCATGTTAAAAGCATAGTATAGACACAATCATTCTTTTATCAATTTAGCCTTTTAAACGAACCAGTCTTTTTGTGACAGAATAATGTATTATATTTTCTTGGCTTTGAGACTGGCCTGATGAGTAAAGGTCCTGTACAGTCCTTGACATTTCCATTTAATATTATTTCATTAATTTATTTTAAATATTTGCACCTAATGCTTTGTTGCTGAGTTTTTTAAAAAAAGTCAGCTTTGCACAAATGGAAAAAATTATGTTCTCACCTGGTCAAGGTTTTCACCAACACGAACAAACTGTTTCAGCAGTGGCCGCTTCAACTAAAAAACAATTTGAAATTAGACAAAAAGCTGGCATTCAGGAGCATGGAGAAAGAATTAGGACACTTAGACATGCTTAAAGCACTTACAGCATACACAAGTAGAGCCCTGTGCGCAGATTCCAGAAGATCGATTATCTTCAGTGCTTTGAGATCAAGGTCACGTAGTTCATCACGACTACAAGGAAAAAATGCTTTGTGAATTGTTTTCCACTATAGGAAAAAGTCAAAATTTAACTCTTCATCCACCCACGCCCAAATGTCAGCCAAACCAGTCAGATACCAGTTTAATACTGAGACTTGGCCTTTTGCGTGGTTAATCCATGCTAAGATAGGTAATATCAATGACGACGATTAGGGCTCATTTATCTTCCAGAGGAAAAAGCAGGCTTTGCAATAAGAAAATTAATGATGACAGTTCGTTTTTTACCAAATCTTTCTAACTACATAATTTGAACTCAGTGTTTGATCATTATTAGAAACAGGAAACACTAAATCCATGAGTATTATAAAGGATATTACACTTTGTAGCTCTTTAGAATAGAAACACTGTAGACTTCAATATAGGTGAACAAGGACAAAATGAAGAGAAAATGCCAATATAGAGAATTATATTTTGTGCCTCATTTTCTTCCTAGTAAACAAGACACCTTGCATTAAGTCTATAGATCCAGAGGCACTCTGGTCCCGGAGTTTCTTCATTCACATTTAATACTCACTGTTTAAATTGGTAAAGATCCTCAGCTAAAGGCTGCATTCAACTAATTTAGTAATCTGCAAATTTTCAGTATTAATTTTCAACAGTCTGAAAATTAAATTAACTTTTCTTAAAAGATCTACTCCCTTGTTACCATAAACAAAATGGTTTGTTTCTTCTCTTTGCTAGCTCGTCTGAAAGTCATGCAGTTACACTAAAAGATATAAAGATGAGTGTGAAAACATAGTCACAGCACCTGATTTAAAGAATAGTGAAAATCTCTGGAAAGTTTACTGGCTTTATGCCAAGAAATCAATATTTGATTGATGGAATCATGTTAACAATCTATGCAAGTTTACCATTTTTGTTTTTACTAGATTCCAAAAATTCAGGTAGGCATTCCGTGACTAATCCATATTTTATTTTACAAAGCATTTGTAAAATTGTGCAACATATAGTGCTGTTCAGAGAGAACATTGGCCTCAACATGCAGGAGTGTACAGAAACTGAAGGGAAACGCTACAGCCCAAATTTTTTTGGTCATTACTAACATAGCTTGTAATTATCACAAATTTCCTATCTGCCATACATAAGGCTTGAAAGGCTACAATGCACCTAAAAATTGGCTGATTTGCAGCCAGGTTTCTAAGACACTATTCTCTTCATTGCACACCTGGTCTAAAGTGATATTCTGTAACAGACCATATGTTTCTTCCTTTTCAAAATAGAAATTACAGTCTATAACTGAAAAACCAGGAGTTTTGCAACTTGAAATTCACGTGTTGCATACCGAGTTGTGTAATGCAATGCTTTCTTTCGGAAGAAGACAGAGAATGAGACTTAAAGACACCAAGAATCTTCTGAGTTAAGGAAACTCTGCCTCACAACAGGTCTGTGATGGATTGAGCTGCAGAGTGTTAAAAAGTCTGAGTGTCAAGAGAGGCAGAGAGGAAAACGCCAGAACTGCAGACAGACAGCACCCTCTCTCTCCAACTATAGAAAAAAATATGGCAGAAAGCTTAAAACAAAAAATTTATATGCGAAAGGACCCAACTTCACGTGATCAACCACTGAATCAAAGGTCAGCGGTCACTGTACAAACAACAGATCTCATCATTGCAAAAATCAAAAGGATTGTGGAAAGAAATAACTTTCTCCCTTGCAGCCTGGATTTTTGATCTTTGAAATTCTGACTACATTATTTTTCCTCCCATTGCATTGGTGTAAAAATGTTCGTCTTTTGTCTGTCTTAATTGTGACCGGGTTCTGTGTTTCGGGCTTTTGAAGGGGTTTGGCTTAAAAATCAAATGTCAGAAAACCTCTTTTCACTGTTCTGTTAAGTTTGTGTGTTACAATAATCAGTTATTTTCACTTTTGCTGGAAAAACTGGTGCAAACTGTTTTTGTCCTGCCAGACAAATTTGTATCTTTGGTGGTTTATATCCACGTTATACATTTTGTGATGATTTATCGAATAGTGAGGCATGGTTACTGGCATATTTTCCCAAGTAGTGACACATTCCAATGTAATAGCTCAAGCATTGTATGCAGTTGCTGATGCCATTCTTTTGAATGCACCCTATTTCCAATAATTCATTTTAAACACATATCAATTTTACTGCACTACTTAAAGACAATCAAGGACTTTTCTCCCCCCAGCAACACTTTGGTATGCTGCTGCCACAAAACTGCTATTATGTCTTCTAACATAACAGTTACTGGACCTATTTATGGACCAAGTAGTTGACAGCCTCTTAAAACCTCTGGAATTAAAATGACGGAGGGTGGGAATATTGCAGTTATTTAGTGAGTTCTGGTAGGTTATTATTTTGAACCTGATCCTGCCTTTGGAAACTGTAGTTCTGGAAGTATATGATGTTACAGAAACGGCTAGCTTTTACTTCTTATTGAGCCAGTTGAACTTCAGGTGCAGTTTATAAAAAATGTACTTCCTAATTGGCTCAGTTGCAGGCAATTTGCTAATGTATGCGTTTCTAAAATTAAACTTGTTAAAATCACAATAATCAGTTTTTGTAAAGTGGTCTCAAATTGGAAACCACTCCACAATCTGCATCCATCTTTTGAACCTGTAAACCTCAAATGCCATTCTGTCCAACTTCTTGCAAAATTCAAATTTATTTCTGGTTTGTTAGCAATGCAAATTTTGATTTTATATCTGCTTTAGGTGTTTGCAGAAAAGTGGTTGCTGCTGTTACTAACTTTTTCTCATCTCTTTACTACTTTATCAAAAAAAATTACATAATTGAGGAAAGTTGGAAAAAATGCAGAAATTAAAGCTATACCGACTTGACACAATATTCCCCATAAGGGGTGTTAGTTGGTACAGTGATTATAATGGGAAACAGCATCCCATAATGTGGACTGACCAAGTACTGCTCACACACTGCTGTCAAGCCAAAAATAACAGTTTGTTTCAATGACTTCAAGCACCTCTAGCACATACAGCTTTATATTCTGCATTTTTTCCCAATTTTACCTCAATCACAATCTTTTGATAAAATAATGGAAAGAGATGAGGAAATGTTGGGGACAACAAAACCACCATTTCTACACGTAGCTCAAACAGTTGTGGTGAAAATTTGTAAAGTAAACAAGCCAAAAATAAACTGGAAACTTACAATACATTGGAGGGAACAGTAAGACACAATGGTTCAGGTTTAAAAATCAGTAAACATTAATAGGTGAAGCATTTGAAATGTGTATTTGGAAAAGCCGGAAGCACATAAAATATATCTTCACATGGTATTCCGTAAGTGAAAATCTTCAATTAAACTTCAGTTGCATAACAATTGCCTTATCTCTAGTTCAGAATTTCATTTAATTGTGGCTTGATGATATGGATTTCTCTCTCATCATCTGAAGCTATCACTGCAAAACTTACTGTTTGTATTGGACAAGCTCTGCTTCTGTTGCCCAGTTCCTATAGCGTTCATCCAGGTGAGGTCTGCCAAAAAGAATTGGGCCCAGGAGCTGAACTTTCACAATGTGACAGTACCGCTTCAATACGGACATCCTCAGATAACACCACCTCTTAGGAATCAACACTGAAAACGAAGACATGCATTACTTTGGGAAAATAAATTGATTAGATTCAATAAACAAATGGAAATCTTTGAGCAAGGAAAACAGATTCAGGCTAAGCAAAAACAAAAATAATGCAGTTCAAATCTGAATAGTCAGTAGCCACCCTCCATTACTATTCAAATAACATTTTAAGGTCTTAATGCCAATTGTAGCTATCAATTCACACCCCTTCTTCTTCTTCCAATAAATTATTGTGCATGAAAAATAATGTTAAAGCACAATTGGAGAAATGTAGAGAATTATTCAAAATTAATAGAACTAAATGTAAAATCATGTACTTAGTCCATGTCCATTTCTTTTTCTGAATGCCATCCCTCCTTACAGGTTCAGAATGCTTACTTGGTACAATTTCTGGTGGACAACATTTTGTGCTATAAAATTATAATACCATTACTTTGTGTAAGTACATTTTGAACTCAATCTGTCAGAAAAATGACAAGCACAGCTCAGTTGCTTCCACTAACTGAGTGGAAAATAGGGGGAAAACACATAGGCGGGAAAGTATATGCACATTAGATAGCAGCAACTTAAAAAAGACTAGAAACCAAGCTGTCAGGTTTCACCACAAACTGTAAAAAAGTAGTGGTGCTACTCTGAGAGTCCTCAACATTGACTCCGAACCCCATGAAGTCTCCTGGCTTCAGGTTAAACATGGGAAAGGAAACCTCCTGATGATTACCAACAACCGTCCAGCCTCAGCTGATGAATCGGTAGTCCTCCAAGTTGAACAACACTTGGAGGAAGCACTAAGGATGGCAACGGCACAAAATGTACTCTGGTGGGGGATTTCAATATCCACCACCAAGAGCGGCTCAGCAGCAGTACTACTGATTGAGCTGGTTGGTTTCTAAAAGACATAGTTGCAAGATTGGGTCTGAAGCAGGTGATGAGAGAATCAAGAGGAAAAAACATACTTGACCTCATCCTTACCAATCTGCCAGCTTTAATTGCATCTGTCCGTGACAGTATCAGTAACAGTGACCATCGCACAGTCCTGTGGAGACGAAGTCCTGCCTTTACATTGAGAATAACTTGCACCGTGTTGTGTGTCACTATCACCATGCTAAATAGGATAGACTTCGCACAGATCTAACAACTCAAGACTGGGCATCCATGAGGCGCTGTGGGCAATCAACAGCAGCAAAATTGTACTCCAGCACAATCTGTGGCATGTCCCCCACTCAACCATTACCATAAAGCCAGGAGATCAACCCTGGTTCAATGGAGAGTGCAGGAGAGCATGCCAGGAGCAGCACCAGGCATACCTGAAGATGAGGTATCAACCTGTTGAAGCCACCAAACACGATGACTTGCATGCCAGTGAAAGCAGGTGATCGACAGAACTAAGCAATCTCATAACCAACAAATCAGATCTAAGCTCTGCAGTCCTGCCACATCCAGTCGTGAATGGTGGTGGACAATTAAACAACTCACTGGAGGAGGCTGCACAAATATCCCAATCTTCAATGATGGAAGAGCCCAGTACATCTGTTCAAAAGACAAGGCTGAAGCATTCGCAGCAATCTCCAGCCAGAAGTGCCGAGGAAATGATCCATCTCGGCCTCCTCCAGTGCTCCCCAGCATTAAAGATACCTGTCTTCAGCCAATTCGATTCACTCCACGTGATATCAAGAAACGGTTGGAGACACTGGATACTGCAAAGGCTATGGGCCCTGACAACATTCCGGCAATAACACGGAAGACTTCTGCTCCAGAACTTTCCACTCCCCCAGCCAAGCTGTTTCAGTACACTTACAACACTGGTATCTGCCCGGCAACATGGAAAATTGCCCAAGTATGTCCTGTACACAAAAAGCAGAACAAGGCCAACCCGGCCAATTACTGCCCCATCAGTTTACTCTCAATCATCACTAATGTGATGGAAGGTGCCGTCAACAGTGCCAACAAGCAGCACCTGCTCAGCGATAACCTGCTCAATGATGCCCAGTTTGGGTTCTGCCAGGGCCACTCAGCTCCTGATCTTGAGCCTTGGTTCAAACATGGACAAAAGAGCTAAATTCCAGAGGTGAGGAGAGAGTGACAGCCCTTGACATCAAGGCTGCATTCAACTGTGTGGGGCATCAAGGAGCCCTAGCAAACCTGGAATCATTGAATAGCAGGGGGCAAGCTCTGCAGAGGTTAGAGTCATACCTGACACATAGAAAAATGGTCGTGGTTGTTGGCAGTCAATCATCTCAGCTCCAGGACGTTTCTGCAGGAGTTCCTTAGGGTAGTGTCCTCAGCCCAACCATCTTCAGCTGCTTCATCAATGACCTTCCTTCCACCATAAGGTCAGAAGTGGGGATGTTCACCGATGATTGCACAATGTTCAGCACCATGACTCATCACATGCTGAAGCAGTCAGTGTTTAAATGCAACAAGATCTGGACAATATCCAGGCTTGGGCTGACAAGTGCAAGTGACATTCATGCCACACAAGTGCCAGGCTCTAACCATCACCATTCTCACAATGTCTGCGTGGGTTTCCTCCGGGTGCTCCAGTTTCCTCCCACAGTCCAAAGACGTGCAGGCTAGGTGGATCAGCCATGCTAAATTACCCATAGTGTTCAGGGATGCGTAGATTAGGTGGGATGCTCCGAGGGTCAGTGTGGACTTGCTGAACCAAAGGGCCTGTTTCCACACTGTAAAAATTCCTTAAGAGACAATCTAACTACCATCCCTTGACATTCAATGGTGTTACCATCACTGAATCGCCCACTATCAACATCCTGGGGGTTATCATTGACCAGAAACTCAGCTGGACTCACCACATAAACACAGTGGCTACAAGAGCAGGCCAGAAGCTAGGAATACTGCGGCGAGTAACTCACCTCCTGACTCCTCAAAGCCTGTCCACCATCTACAAGGCACAAGTCAGGAGTGTGATGGAATACTCCCCACTTGCCTGGATGAGTGCAGCCCCAACAACACTCTAGAAGCTTGCCACCATCCAGGACAAAGCAGTCCGCTTGATTGGCACTACATCCACAAGCATTCACTCCCTCCACCACCGATGCTCAGTAGCAGCAGTGTGTACTATATACAACATGCACTGCAGAAATTCAACGATCCTCAGACAGCACCTTCCAAACCCACAACCACTTCCATCTAGAAGGACAAGGGCAGCAGACATAAGGGAACACCACCACTTCTAAGTTCCCCTCCAAGCCACTCACCATCCTGACTTGAAAATATATCGCTGTTCTTTTTCTGTCGCTGGATCAAAATCCTGGAATTCCCTCCCTAATGGCTTTGTGGATCAACCTACAGCAGATGAACTACAGCAGTTCAAGAAGGCAGCTCACCACCACCTTCTCAAGGGCAACTAGGGTTGGGCAAGAAATGCTGGCCAGCCAGCGACACCCACATCCCACAAAAATGAACAGAAAAAAATTAGAACTTCAACAACAAGACAACTATCTGCAGCTTCACCACTGGAGTATTAAAAGCACCGATTCACAATCTAACATGCCACAGTTACTTCAATACACTACCTGCTTCTTCTGCAATCCTTAATTAAATCACTTACCAAAACACATCTTAAAAATTAGAGACAACACAGTATGGAGCTGGAGGAACGCAGAATCAGAGGAGCAGGATGGTGATACGTGAGTGCAGGTAGTGGGGATTGGTAAGTGGGATGGGTGGGGAAGATACGTGGGAGAGATGGACGGGTTGTGTCAGGTCAAGAAGGCAGGGATGAGAGGGAGGCTTGGACATAGGATGAGGCCGAGGGAGGGGAGATTTTAAAACTGGTGAATTCCACGTTTAGGCCATCAAGCTGTAGGCTCCCGAGGCAGAATATGAGGTGTTGCTCCTCCAGTTTGCAAGTGGTGTCACCGTGACACTGGAGGCGGCCCAGGAGGAGGAAACGGAACTTACCATCCTCCCTCCCACCTCCATGACCTGACACAACCCGTCCATCTTCTCTCCCACCTATCCACCCCACCCATCCCACTGACCAATCCCCACCACTCCCTACCTGCATTCACCTACCTTTCCCCAACCCCACCCCTCCTCTCTCTATTTATTTCCCAGCTCCCTTCCCCCTCCCCATTTCTGAAGAGGGGTCCAAACCAAAAACGTCAACTTTCCTGTTCCTCTGATGCTAGCTGGCCTGCTGTGTTCCTCCAGCTCCATACCTTCTCGTCTCTGACTCCAGCATCTGCAGTTCTTGCTATCTCTTAAAAATTAGAACTTACTTTTATGTTGGACTTGGCTGTATATTAGCTGATCTCTTCTCTCAAAATTACACAGGTTTCTTACCTTCATAGCTTAGCTGTGGTGGTTCGACTGGAGAAAACCATGATTTAAAATCCTGCAATTATGATTAAGCAAAAGTTGATGTTCACACAATCAAAATCAATTAAGTTGACAGAAATATAAGATAACCTTCACATTTTATTTGCAGTAAACTGACACTGTTTCCCTGGCTAGAGAGTCTGGAACGAGAGATCATAGTCTTGGGATAAAGGTTCACCATTAGTAAAGGAAATGAGGAAAAGAGTCTTCATTCAGGGTGTTGAGAATCTTTGGAAATCATTGCCCTAGAACTGTGGATGCACACTCATTCAGCATACCTAAAACTGCAGGTAATAGATATTTGGACACTAAAGGAATCAAAGGAAATGGCAAAAGATAAGCAAAATGGAGATAAGACAGATTACCTCATTGAATGGTTAAGCAGAGTCAAGAGGTTGGATTGCCTGATTCTGCTATTTCATACATTTTTACACAGGTTGCAATATTACCTGCTGATACCATTGCATCAAATGGAAGAATGTTTTTCTCTGCTTACTTCTTTACTTACAATAATTTAAAATAATGGATAACAAGATAGACCTGAACTTCCAAAGATGCACAGAACATTATGGATGCTAAAAATAGAAGAATCCCAAGAATCTATAGACTTCAAAAAGAATGAGTTCTGTATTTAACATTTCAAATGTAATGTTTTTATACTGATTATGAACCATGCACAGATTTTAGAGGCAGCCTGCATTCTAAATCGGCAAACTCTATTGATGCATACATCAGCTTTATGCTGAAGTAAAAATCCAGACAACAGAATCCAATTTTTGGTGACATTCTGTTCAGAATTATCAAAAATGGACAGTGGTCACAGTTTTATTATATTTTCCTTAAAAAGAGCTGCATGCAAGCAGTAGAGGGTTATAATAAATTTTGAATGAAACCAGACAGACCACCTGGCACTGACCTAAGCACCAGAAACAATGAGAAAACTTAACCCTGTCAATCCTGCAAAGTTTTCCTTACTAACATCTCTGGATGAGTGCTGTCTCAGAGACTAGTCAAGCAACAGCCTGCCAATTATACTTAAGGAATTGTATAGTATAGTCAATAACCGGGGCACCACAACCACTGAGTATGTGTTATCTCAAAGCTTGCAGCACCATGGTCAACAGAGGGTTGCTCTGGGAGTCCTCACCATTGACTCCAGGACCTAAAGGCATCAAGTCAACTATGTCCAAGGTAACCCCTTGTTGATTTTTTTCTTAATTCACTCATGGGACCTGGGGATTGCTGTTTGGATTATCATTTATTGGCTGTACCTAGCTGTCCTTGAGAAGGTGGCAGTGAGCTGCCTTCTTAAACCGCTGCAGTCCATGTGCTGCAGGCAGAACTAGGATATACTGGTCCTCTCTCAGCTGATTCGACCACCACTTACAGGAAATACTGAGGGGGGCAAGGGCACATAATGTGGCATGAGGGACTTTAATAACTATCACCAAGAGTGGCTCAGCAGTATGACTACTAGCCAAGTTAGTAGAGTCCTAAAGGACATGCCTGCTAGACTGGGTCTGCAACAAGTAGTGAGGAAACAGACAAGCGGAAGAAACATCCTCAACAACCTGCCTGCTGTCAGTGTGCACATCCAGGACAGTATCGGTGGGAAACAATCAACACTGTACTCCCTTTCCGAGTTTATAAAATCATTCATGGAGCAATACCCAAAACTCGACTGGCAATCAAACACTGTTTTTGCCTCTTTGTATTTCAGTCCCATTAAAGGCAACATGCCAGTCGCCTTTTTGAATACTTAGTCTACTTGTGCAATAGCTTTTACAGATGTGTACACTTAGACAGCAAACACTTGTCCCTATATAGTTCCTAGTCCCTTGCTGTTAAAATATTCTGGCATCTTTCTTGGATACAAACTGAATTACCCTTTCCAACTGAATTCCATCTGCCACAATTTTGTCTGTTTAATTAAACTATTCACTTTTTTTTGTAACTTGCAGCTCCCATCTGATATATCTTTACATCATCAAGTGCAGAGGCATATAAATCCCATGCTCTGTATTTGTGGATGCATGTTTTACATATAACTTATGCCATTCTAAACATATGCATGGTTTTTAATAAAAAGGAAAAGAAAATACCCCACCACTTGCCCAATTTTAAAGCATGAAAATAGCTTACATGCAAGAATTAACGCAAAACAACTTTTGCAGCATGATTTTATCCTACGCATCTGATTATTTTAATTTAATTTCAGTTTAACGATTTGCATACTTTAATCTACAAACACGCACTGAGATCTGCTGAACTGTGTCCATGTCATATTATTTCCCTCAAAGTCCAGTAAGTTAGAAACTCTGCATTGTATGACTCTATGTACATCTACATGTAAAAGGGTTAGGACATTCATCCATTTAAGGCCATCTCTTTTCAATGTAATGAAATATCACAACAGCGTTTGAACAGATTGTTGCTGTCATGCCCAATGGAAAAATAATTTCTGCTTCCCAAGCTGCAAGTTCCAAAAAAAAATGTGAATAGTTTAATTAAACAGACAAAATTGTGACAGATGGAATTCAGTTGGAAAGGGTAATTCAGTTTGTATCAATTGAAAGACGCCAGAATATTTTAACACCAAGGGACTAGGAACTATATAGGAACAAGTGTTTGCTGTCTAAGTGTACACATCTGTAAAAGCCATTGCTCTTCAATGCATCGATGATGTCGTTAGTAAGAAGAGTAACTCTTTCCACAACAAGTCCTGTGGTAGCATGGCCGAGCGGTCTAAAGCACTGGATTTAGGCTCCAGCCTCTCAGGAGGCCTGGATTCGAGTCCCATCGCTGCCAACTTGTGGAGGACCGGATTGGGAGGCAGATACTGGAAAGGTGCAGAAGTCACAGGGTTGTAGTCATGGGTGACTTCAACTTTCCAAATATTGATTGGAAACTTTTTAGTTGTAATAGTTTAAATGGAGCGGAATTTTTCCAGTGCGTTCAGGAAGGATTCCTGACACAGTATGTAGATAGACCAACGAGGAGAAGCCACTTTGGATTTGGTGCTTGGCAATGATCCGGGCCAAGTGTTAGACCTGTTGGTAGGAGAGCATTTTGGCGGCGGTGATCATAACTCTGTTACTTTTACAATAGTCATGGAAAAGGATAGGTACATTCAGCAGGGCAAGGTTTATAATTAGGGGAAGGGTAATTATAATTCTGTCAGGCAAGAACTGGGTAACATAAAATGGGAACAGATGCTGTCCGGGAAGTGCGCTATAGAAATGTGGAGATTGTTTAAGGAATGCATACTGCGTGTGATCGATATGTTTGTCCCTAGCAGGCAGGGAAGATGCGGTTGAGTGAGGGAGTCTTGGTTCGAAAGAGGTCGAACGACTGGTTAAGAGGAAGAAGGATGCTTAGATAAGGTTTAGGAAACAAGGATCGGAAAAAGCTCCAGAGGGATTCAAGTTAGCGAGGAAGGAGCTGAAGAAAGGGTTTGGGAGAGCTACAAGGGGGCATGATAGGATCAAGGAAAACTCCAAGGCTTTTTACACGAACGTGAGGAATGAGAGAATGAACAGAGTAAGGGTAGGGCCGATCAAGGATTATAAAGGGAATTTGTGCACGGAGCCTAAAGAGATAGGAGAGGTCCTTTTCTTCAGTATTCACAACGGAGGGACCTAGTTGTGGGTGGGGGGTGGGGTCAGTGTGAAACAGGCTGGCAGGCTGGAGGAGGTGGATGTTAGTAAGGAAGATGAACTAGGAATTTTGAGGAACTTGAAGATAGATAAGTCCCCCAGGGCCTGATGGGATTTATCCAAGGATTCTATGGGAAGCGAGGGAAGAGATCACAAAGCCTTTGGCGATGATCTTTTCGTCCTCACTGTCCACTGGTATAGTGCCGGAAGACTTGAGATGATGTCATTCCCTTATTCAAAAAAGGGAATAGGAATAACCCTGGAAATTACAGGCCAGTCAGTCTCACTTCAATGGTGGGCAAATTATTGGAAAGGGCTCTGAGAGATAGGATTTATGATCACTTGGATAGGCACAGTTTGATTCGTGATAGTCAGCATGGGGTAGATCATCCCTCACAAACCTTATTGAATTCTTTGAAGAGGTGACCAAACACGTGGATGAAGGTAGAGCAGTGGATGTGGTATACATGGATTTAAGTAAAGCGTTTGATAAGGTTCCCCACAGTACGCTCATGCAGAAAGTAAGGAGACATGGGAAAGGGGGAAATGTGGCAGATTGGATTCAGAATTGGCTGACCTTAGAAGACAAAGGGTGGTAGTGGACAGAAAATATTCAACATGGTGCTCAGTTACGAGTGGTGTACCACAAGGATCTGTTCTGGGTCCTCTTCTATTTGTGACTTTTGTAAATGATTTGGACGTAGGAGAGAGAGGGTGGATTAGTAAGTTTGCGGACGATACGAAGGTGGGTCGAGTTGTGGATAGTGCGGGGGCTGTTCTCGGCTACAAAGGGACATTGATAGGATGCAGAGCTGGGCTGAGAAGTGGCAGATGGAGTTTAACACTGAAAAGTGTGAGGTGATTCATTTTGGAAGGACAAACTTGAAAGCAGAATACAGGGTTAAGAGAAAGATTCTTGGCAGAGTAGAGGAGCAGAGGGATCTTGGGGTTCATGTCCACAGTTGCCTGAAAGCTGCCACCCAGTTGGATAGGGTTGATAAGAAGGCATATGATGTGTTAGCTTTCATTAATAGAGGGATTGAGTTCAAGAGCCGTGAAGTTATGCTCCAGCTATACAAAACCTGGGTTCGGCCACATCTGGAGTATTGTGTCCAGTTCTGGTCGCCTCATTACAGGAAAGATGCGGAAGCCATGGAAAAGGTGCTGAGGAGATTTCCCAGATGTTGCCTGGAATGGAGGGAAAGCCTTACGAGGAAAGGTTGAGAGAGCTAGGGCTTTTCTCTTTAGAATGACAAAGGGTGAGAGGTGACTTGATAGAGGTGTACAAAATGATCAAGGGTATAGATAGAGCGGACAGCCAGAGACTTTTTCCTAGGGTGGAGGTAGCTATTACGAGGGGGCATGGTTTTAAAGTGAGTGGAGGTAGATATGGGGGAGACGTCAGAGGTAGGGGCGTGGAATGCATTGCCGGAAAGCTTAGTAGAGTCGGCCTCATTAGGGGCATTTAAGCTGCTATTAGATAGGCATATGGATGATAGTATAAGGCAGGGGTGGAGGTTAGATAGACCTTAGGTTTAGGGTATAAGTTCAGCACAACATCGTTGGCCAAAGGCCCTGTACTGTGCTGTACTGTTCTATGTTAACAAGTTTTAACATGTTCTTTAAAAACAGTAATAGTTTATTTTTAAGCTTAAAATCTTCAGTTTTCCATTAAAATCATACTCAAAGAAACTACAAATCTGTACTGAACTGGAAAGTAGCTTGAAACCAGTGGCAGTTCAGAGTGTTTAGGCAGTCTACATATTCAAATAATAGTAATGAGATTTCATTCATCCACTGGATGAGTCACTATCGAAATACAACATTTTCGGTACAACGGCGACAGAGAGGACACTCCAGCTGGAGACTGTCCACTCTACCCATTCTTTTACTTTACTTCTACCGCTTTTCCTCCTTTCTCTCAGCCTCGGACAACTGGCCCCAGCCTCCGACTCCCAGCCTCTAAAGCAGGGTTGGCAGCCCAAAGTGGGGTTAGCCATCGACAGCCCAAAGCAGGGAAGGCAGCGACGTGGCATGGAGCATGGTGGCCCACTGCAGAGCCAGCAGCTAGCAGTCAGACCATGTGGAGGTCCCCTGCACTGGTCTGCTGCACGGAGCCCTTGGAGAGAGATTGTGATGTTTGTCTTTTTAACTTGTTTCTTGTTTTTTTGACCTATGGTCATACCGTGTATAGCTGTAACATAACTTTTGTTTTCTTCATTTCTCTAATCTGTAACTAAGGAATGTACCTAGGCACTCTGTACCTTAGATGTTGTGTTGGTGACATTATTACACTGTAACTAATCTGTAATTGCAGAAGCTATTCCTAGGTACCTTTGTATCTAAGATGACCCTGTAAATGGCGAGTTATAAGCTTTTCACTGTGCTTATTTGAGTACATGTGACAATAAATCTAATTCATTCATTCACATGCAAGTCTTAATCAATATTCTTGGTTTGGCCTTTATTAACATTTTCAAGAATGTCTGACTGAATCAAGAATCTTTTATAAACTTCCCATTGTTGATGCTATAAGAATATAACTTACATTTGTACATTGATCATATAAAAAGACTTTTTAAAATGTCAAGTATTTTTGATGACTGGAGGAGATGATGATGGAAAATGCATTTTACAAGCTGATGTCTTGGTCATCTGAACCACAGTCCATATTTATTAAGAACAAACTATGTTTTTCTGGTGTTGTTGATGGATAACAGGAAACTTATTATTGTGCATTGTTACTTTTGTAATTCCTATTTAAATAGCTTATACTTTTTAAAAAAAAGTGCTAAAATGGCTGTGACAGAACATAAATTTTATCCACATGCCAAAAACACTTACGACAAAAATAGTGAATTACTTCCTTGCAGAGACTTACCTCATCAGAGGAAACTATATCTGGCAAGTCACTTGAATCAGATGTAGTACATCCATCACTATCCCAAATCTCAGGTTCCATAACTTTATTCTAAGAATGACAATAATAAAGAGTAGACATATACAATGATTTCCAGCACCTTCTGTCAACCAACTTCCTCCTGTCCAAACAAAATAAAAAGGTGATCAGAAATTCAGCTCCATTATTAAATCTTATGCAAGCAATTTACTTATGACAATAAAAGTAAAATACTACAGATGCTGGAAACTGGAAAAAAAACAGAAAGCATTCGAGAAATTCAAGTCTGGCAGCATCTGTGGAAAAAAAGTTATAACATTGAGTCCAATATGGAGTTCTGGAGAAGAGTACTTGAAATGTTAATTCGGTTTCTCTCTCCAAAGATGCTACCGGGCCTGTTGAGTTTCTCCAGCACTGGTTTTAATTTCTCTATAGCACTGGCCTTACATTGTGCAACACGATAACGTATAAATGCTCAACTGGGAATGTGCATTCAGATAGAAGGATGCAAGAATAAAATAGCAACCCATCCCCAAAAAGAACATAATTGGGTGTGTGTGAGGGTGTGTAAATGGCATGGAGACTGAAATTAAACAGTAAACGTCCAAATACATACTTTCAAGAAAAAAACACGCGCTCCACAACACAAAACACAGCAAGCTGCTCGGTCTACGTGAACGCATATAGGTAATTTAATATAAACAATGAAAGCAAGTACGAAAAATAAAAAACTTCCTTGCAAAGTAAGCAATTTTCACGGTGGCATTAGCTACGTATGAGGAAGTTTTACGTTTTCAAAGCTGGTGGCTTGTCACAAGAACCTAAAGGTGGAATATTTGGAGTTGCTGTCGTTTTGGATCACAGCTTTGCGGCTTTGAAATCAGATTTTCAGAGGGAGTGAGTTGCGCATTCGTATTAGATATGTTAAGGAGCCAAAGGCAAAGCTACAGATTTCTGGAAGGGTTTGTTTCTTACCCACACCCTATCCATCCCCTGCTCTTTCCTCCCTGGAGCCCAGCTTCTGCGGATAAACTTAGCCCAGACTGATCCCTGGGCAACATCCAAGAAAAGAAGAAAGACAACAACTCCGCCCTCTACTCCCCGTCAATTTGAAATCAAAACCCTCCCTCATCTTCGCGCTTCAAGCTGACAAGAATGCAATCCTGCAACGATTTCCATCCACCCCGAACATTTTCTTTTGTTCGTTTATTTCCTTTTCAACCTCAGAAACAATAAACAATAAACAATTCTCAAACTCACCTGCACACAGACAGACAGATAGACGGACAGGCAACAAAATGGTGGCCGGCTCCCGCAGATCTCGCGAGAACCAGCCAGAATCTCATCGCAAAACTCATCGGGAGCTGTAGTTCTACCAAGGTACTCTCATGGTTAAGTGTCTCGTGAAACGTGATGAAGCCTACTGGTTGCAACACCAACTTCAACAATTTCAGTTTCCCCCACTATCACCACCAGTTTTATTTTGTTCGCGCATGTCTGTCTTTTTTTTTATTCTTAATGTTGCTCAGCTATTTTCTTGCTTTGGGCAACCATTCATTATTCTGCAATTCCTCCTCTTGACTAGGTTAAGGGGTTCTGTAGAAGGGTAGCTGGACCCAAAACATTAAGTCTGCTTTCTCTCCACACATGTTGTCAGACCTGCTGAATGTTTCCAGCAATTTTTTTTTGTTGTTATAGGTTAGGGGGTTTGTTAGCTCAGTTGGCTGAGTGGCTAGTTTGCATTGTACAGCAAAGACAACATTGTAGGTTCAATTTCCACACTGTCTGAGGTTACCATGAAGGTATCTGTTTCTCAACCTTTCCCCTCACCGGAGGCATGGTGATCCTCAGGTTAAACCACTGCCAGTAATCTCTCTCAAATGAGAGAGCAGCCCAATGGTCTAATAGGACTACAGTCCAGAAGGCTGTCAGAATCCCTAAGCAGAAAATGAGGTGCTGAGCTTTGCTGGAGCACTGCAGCAAGCCTGTGACAGAGATGTTGGCCAGGGAACAGGGTGGTGAGTTAAAGTGGCAGGAAACTTGAAGCTCAGAGTCATCTTTGCAGACAGAATGAAGCTGTCACCCAGTCTATGCTTCATTTCCCCAATGTGGAGGAGACCACACTGTAAGCAGCGAATGCCGTAGACCAGATTGTGTGACGTGCAGGTAAAGTGCTGCTTCATCTGGAAGGTGTATTTGGGCCCTTGGATATTCAGGAGGGAGGA